CGGCGTTGAATGGATCGTTCTAGTCAATCTCACAGGCATATGTATCAGATACATGTCAATATAATCCAATTGAAGATTCCTGGATAACACAGACCAAAAAGAAAAAAAAAATTTAAAGGGGCAATAATTAGTCCAATCATCTTAACAGGACAACAAAAAACCATTGCCAGCAGGGTTCGGCTGAGCTATTAAGGCTCGGATTTCGACTCAGAATCAAGATTCGTATCTTGAAATGGGGTAACCTCTCTTTTTCATAAACTTCTTTTTATCATCCAAAAGATGATAAAATGATGAAAGCAGCATATTAAAAAAGAAAAATACAGTTTGATGTTACTTACTGAAGGCTCATTTTACAGGCAGGAACAATCTGGTCACGTTCAGCAGAGCTGCTCCATAGTTTAGTGGTGATAAAAAGTTCATCCCTGGACATGATCAGGCCAAGTGTCAAAGCTTCAGCTATTGCCTCACCAAGGGGCTTCTCAGAACCATAAGCAAACGCCGTGTCAAAGTGGCGGTAGCCAGCTTTAATGGCTTCGATGATCGCTGTTTTTGTAGTTTCCAGGTCCGCCGGAGGGAACGAGGAAGTTCCCATGCCAATAACTGGCATGGTTTTCTCACAACTGCTCAATGTTACGTCTGGTACTTTGGCCATATTCTTCTGCCTGTAACTCTCTCCAATTCCAATTTGTTGGTATTTGAGAGTGTTTTGAGTACTCTTATATATATGAGTGTGTTGGGGGTCTTTTAACTAGAATTCTTATCAGTGTTTTTTGTAGATTTGATTTGATTTTTGATGTTATATTTTGGTAGGATTCAGTCGCGTGAGAGACACTATGAGTGCCTGTTCCACTCTGCTGCTGGAGTTGAATATGGAGTGGTCAACTTTTAGCAAGAATTTTCACAAACTACAGTTAAGCTAACCTCATAAGTACGGCTAAAAAGCAATTGCTGACTTGTTACCGCATTACTTAGTACTCAATTTTCTACGTGGAAGTCAATTTGGACCGTCTAGACGGCAATACAATATTGACCATCACAATACTTATGGAGTGGTCAACTTGTTACAGCGCCCGCGTGAATGATTCAGGTAGCGCCTCTCATCAGTGATTCTTAAGGTTTCAAATTCGAGTCTTCACTTCGCTGGGTTCCTCCGCACACTTATCGTGTTCGGGTCGGGTTGGAGCGCCGGGCACAGGCCGCAGGGGATTAGTCGGGCCCCGTAAGAATTGACCCGAACATCCCTGTGTCGAAAAAAAAAAAAAAAATCAACTTGTTACAGCATTACTTAGTACTCAATTTTCTACGTGGAAGTCAATTTGGACCGTCTAGACGGTAGTACAATATTGACCATCACAATTGGCATGGTTATTTGACAAAAGGATTCAAGGATGCCCCAAAAAAGAAACAAAAAAAATTATCTCAGTCCACTGATCAAATTGAAGATGTTATATTACCTAGTGGATTTATAGTTTCAGAATTTGTAAAGGGAATTTTCTAATTTTTCCTTGTCAAAATTTCTATTTTAGGTAGACTCAACACTTGTGGGCTATATATACCATCAGTATACAAAAAATTAATTCATATATATATATATATATATATAGTTTTAGAATTTGTACAGGGAATCTTGTAATTTTTCCTTATCAAAAACTATTTTAAGTAGATTCAACACTTATGGACTATATATACTGTCAGTATATAAAAAATTAATTTATATATATATATATATAATTTCAAAATTTGTATAGGCAATTTTGTAATTTTTCGTCAAACTTTATTTTAGGTAGACTCAATACTTATGGGTTATATATAGCATAAAAAGTTAATCCATAAATATATATATATATATATATATATATAGGAAATTCAAAATGCCCCTATATTTTCTTGTTAAGTCATGAAGATGTTAGGCCATGTTCCAATTGTATTATTCATTTAGGAGAGGGTCTTGTTTAGTTCCCTAAGTGGACTCATTGGTTGTAATTTTTTTTTTTTTTGAGAGAAAAAGACTCAAGGTACTTGGCCGTAGTAATTTTTGTGGGATGACAATCCCACAATTTTAAGCATAAAAGGATTTTGAAAATAAACTTGTCACTATGCATATAAGTACAGTTGTATGTGGTTATAATTAATTTAATTTCAGTTTCCTAACTTTTTTGTTAAATACTCAAGTTTTCGGCACATTAAAACTCTAATGATTCCTCCAACTTTAGAATTCCAGCTTGCCAATTATTTCCTCTTCATCTATTCAGCCAAGGAAAATAGTAAACGAATCATAGATTAAGGCATAACCCAATTCAACACTTAAATTTAATGGATTCAGATTTTAATATATTTAGACCGTTTAATAACCAAAAATTGAATATTTGAATTAATTAAGTGGCACTAAATTTTTTAGTCAAAACTTGCTCCCAAAATTAAGTGATAAGTTATTCACATATCACTGAATGTGATAAACACTCAAATGTATTAGATTTAATACTTTACAATTCAATAACTTAATGGATTTAGACTTCAAATTTCATATTTTAGATTTCAATTTTATCAAACGCACCTTAAATTAAAAGAGCAAATAATTGGATTCATATAGAATAAAATGAAATTTCTAAACAGAAGCTATATAAACTCTGTCCAGGTGGTGTAGGAATGCAGCCAAAAACCCTTTTTTTTTTTTTTTTAACTTCTCACTCATTGCAGTTTTAGCTGTTCCACATTTGAAGGAAAGCACAATCTGCATGTCCCTAAAAACGTGCTTTTGCAAGAAAGATGATGGCGAAACAGAAATGTTAAAGTTTGAGTTTCCTGTTGCCTTGATTCATTGAATTCTCCAAATCCAGTTGCCTGACCAAAGTAATATTAATCAATTTAGTGGGCATTAGGTGTATTATTAATGTATGTATTTTCTTTTGGGTTCTTCTATTTTATGCCTTCATCATATAAAAGTGGGTTCGATTTTTTTTAATTGATAACCAATTTAATTTTTAACCATAATTTTCGAAATTTGTACTGGGTCCTTCTCTATTTTTGGTGAAATTATTTTGTGCTCTAAGTATGAAAAGAAATTCTTTTAATTCCATGTTGCATCGTAAAAAAGAGATTTTCTAACTACTTTTTTTCTTTTTTTTCCCATGTTGCAATGGCAAAAAAGGGTTTTCCTCACAAGTAGTTTCACAATAAAGAAAAAGTTAAGGCAAGTTTTTTGTATGATTCCAATTACAATTCCAATTCCTAAACTTGAACCAAGCGCCCCCTTAGTTGCCCGATGAAACGAGGTATGAATACTCTGCTCGTGACTACACATCTACATTTTATGGACAAAAAAATGTTTTCCAATAAAGCTTTTTTTAAAAAAAATATAAGTGAAAGATTTCGAATTTAAGACACATCACTCACACTATCTCCTCTCATATCATTCAATCTATCCCTCCTCCTAATAAAGTTAAAATAATTGAAAAAAATTTTCTTAACTTTTTTTGGTAGAAATTTCTTGCAAAAGCTTCAAATTGTCCGAATTATTTTGTTTTCCTTCACAAATAAGCAAAGACTTCCAAATTTCTATACTTTTACTTCTTCGAATTACAAAAGCGACGAAAATGCGTTATGCTTTTTCCAAACAAATTATGGAAGTTTTATTAGAGGCAAAGACCCAGACTTTCAACTCAAAACTGATTGGAACGTGCGTTGATCCAAGAACTTGATTAATTAATGTCAGGAGGATTTTTGCGAATTGATGTGAAAGTTTATGAATTAGTCCAATGCCGGTGTTCTGGATTGACAAGAATGCAGGTGTTCTGGATTGACAAGACACAGCCATTAAAGACTGACAATAACATGCCCTGTGATTTGCAGCATTGTAATGCTCACAAAGGGTTTGAGTCATGCATGGAACCATGGATATGTGATGATTGTAATTGCGTTTGGATTGATCTTTTTTTAAAAATAAGATTTTCATATACAATTAATAAAAATAATTATAAAAATATCAAAAATAATCTCAAAAACATCAAAAATATTTAAAAAAAAACTCAAAATCACCAAAAACAACCTCATTTGCTGTAAAAGTTTTTCACCTATATTATTACAGTAAAATATTTGAAAAACACTTTAAAAAATAACTAATCCAAACAGAGCTATGTTAACTCTCACACTAAAGTGATAACTGTGAAAATCAAAATCTGAAATTTAAAAATTAGAAATTAATGATACAAAAATGAAGAGACTCATGACCATAGAAAAATAAATAATGAAACGAAGAGCCTCATGATGATAGAAAAATAAATAATGAAATTGATTATTGAAATAAGAAAAGAGGCCAAAGGTGTGGAATTTCTCGTATTTTGTTTGTTATCAAGAAAAGCTTTTATAAAATGTCAATAATTACATAAGAATTTCTTTCATTGGATTAGCAATTGTTAGTTATGATTTTACTATGTAGGTAAAATCTATTCACTACTTCTAAGATGTTAATACTTCTAAGGATATAGGAAAGTCGTGATAGTGGTTCTAAATTAGATTAGCTTGTGTTGGAAAGATTTTGAGGCATTTAGATTTTATTTTAAGGTTTGATATAGATTACTATTTTTTATAATGAATAACTTCCATAAAAAATATATATATATATATATATATCTTGGCTCTAGGACCCCTACCCCAGGGTGCCAATGGGCCCTAATTTTCATGTCTTACCACATTAAAACGATTTGTGTAGCAACAATATACACGATTAAAAAAACCATAGGTCCATTCCCCAATAAAAACTGGGGATATTTGTTTCTTAAGAAATCCAAAATAACACAGGGGGTGATTTTGTATAAACGATGACAATCAAAGAAATTCAAATAAAAAAAATAAAAATAAATAACTAACTAGAAATTAAATGACAATTCACTAAAATTAGAGTAGCAATAATTAAAGGTCTAGCCAGTTAGAATAATTAAAATAGTCTTTTCTAAACGCTCCGATATTTTAGGAAAATGCTCGCTAGGGTTTTCCACATTGCCATGGCTGCTACGACAGCCCTTCAGCCGTTGGGTGAGGGAATTGCTGGTTCTCCGACTGGCAAGAAATCCTTCTCTCAGCTTTTCACGCAGCCAACGAATCCTCAAATCCAGGTTCGGCCAGTATCTACATACAAAGGGGAGGCTGCTGTGGTTTTTTCAAAGGAGGATATGGACAGGTTAGCGGCTCCCTTTCGCCTGGCACTTGTCGGAAAGTTCTCTCATGGATGGCCGCCGTTAGAAGAGATTAGAAAGTTATTCGCCACTCTGAACTTACGTGATCAACTTTCTGTTGGCCTGCTGGACTATAGGCATGTTCTACTGAAGTGTTCAGCGGAGGCTGACTTCAATTGGCTCTGGACAAGAGGCTTGTGGCAGATCGACAAGTACCCAATGCGTGTGTTCAGATGGACCAGAGAATTTCATGTTCACAAGGAATCTTCCTTGGTCCCGGTGTGGGTTTCTTTGCCCGCTTTACCCATTCACTTTCATGACAAGAACTCCTTGTTCTCAATTCTATCTCCCATAAGGAAACCTCTTTTTTTGGATGCAGCAACAACGACGAGTACGAGGCCAAGCGTGGCCAAGGCATGTGTAGAAATAGACTTGTTGAAGACACTCTGTTCAAGGGTATGGGTTGCAGTGGAGGGAGAGGGCGGTTTCTGGCAGAAGGTGGTGATGGAGGACGTCCCAAAATATTGTTTGAATTGCTGGAGGTTGGGTCACTCAGAGGAGGAGTGTAGGAAGAACATTGCTGCCAATGGTGCAACTAAGGCGCAATCCCAGGGGCACAGACCTTCAGCCACCGCTACGGCACCTGCGTAACAGGACCCAAAGATAGGCAATCTGGAGGAGGAGCGCGCAGGCGAGGGACCACCTTCAATGCCGCAGCAGAGGTCGAGTGACCAGCACGATCTGCAGCTGGGTGTTTTGGAGGAGAAGTGTACGATGGAGTGTGCAGATGAGGGACCATCACCAGTGCAGCAGCAGGGCTCGACCCAGCTCGCCATCATGGGCGTTCAGCAGGGGCAGCCTGAGGCAGCTGTTGCACCTGTAGTGGAGGCGGTCAGGCACTCTGTTGCGGCAGGAGAGGCTAGCAGCCCACTAGTGGTGATTGCACGCGAAGAGAACCTGACGGAGCTCTGGGTGGAGATTCCAAATAGTAGTGCGGAGGCACGGGCTGGGGATGTAGAGGAGTCTCATGGCAAGATGGATGAAACCTTGGTAGGAACCACACACCCACCAGCAGGCTGGGTGCGGATGGAGGAAGAAAGGGATGCTGCTGACTTTGCAAGGGAGGAGGTTGAGTTAGTTTCTACAGCTGGAAATTTATCCCCAAGGGCAAGGAGCCTTCAAACAGATCAGACCGACGCATCTTTGGAAGCTTTAAACCTTGATCAGTCCAGGGATAACAGGTTTGAAATCAAGCAAAGGAAAACGAAAGGAGTACGGGCGACTTTCGCTTCAGACAGACAGCTTCGATCAGCTTCAACATGTTCTCAGACCTCTTCCCTATTGGAATCCCATGATTAGCGGGCTTTTTTGGAACATCATGGGGATTATGCATCCCCCCAATTTCAGGAGGTTAAAGAAAATATTACGAATGCATGACATCAAATTTGTTGCGATCTGCGAGCCCAAGATTGGGATTTCTCAAATTGAGTCCACTAGGCTACGTTTGTCATTTGACGCCGTCGAGGCTAATGTATCGGGAGATATATGGGTTTTCCATAGTTCGCCTTTTGTGTGCACCATGATTGGATGATCGTCACAATATCTCTCCCTTCAAGTTCAACATCCTTGGTTGCCCAGACCAGTTGTTGTTTCCTTTGCTCATGCGCGCTGCTCAGTGGAGGACAAACAGACATTGTGGCAGGCACTGTTGAATGATAAGCCCACTTCGTTACCTTGGTGCATATGCGGGAACTTCAATGTGATTATGGGGCCCCAGGAGAAGAGATGAGGGCGACCGTTTTGCAGCAATGAGGGCCGTGAGCTATTGTCTTTTATGGAGATGGCGGGGGTTTTTGATGCGGGGTTCACGGGCTTACAGTTCACATGGTGTAACAATCGAAGGGGAAGAGCAAGGATTTGGAAAAGGTTGGATAGGCTATTAATCAATGCTGAGTGTTCGTCGTTGACATTGTCAGTGATGGTAGCTCATCTGGCAAGGCACCCATCGGATCATGCCCCCTTAAAGATTTCTTTTGTCTCTCGCCTGGACGATAAGCCGCGTCCCTTCCGTTTTTTAAATGTATGGACTTCCAATCAGTCCCTATTGGAGGTGATTCGACGTGTGTGGGACCAGGATGTTGGTGGGTCCCCATTGCGAGTTCTATGCTCTAAGCTTTTGGTTACTAGAAGAGCGGTACGTGAATGGAACAAAAATTCCTTTGGGAACGTTTTTAAGGCTGTACGCATGGCGGAGTAGGAAGTCCTCCCAGCGGAGTTAACGGCGGAGCATAATGAGTCCACAGAGGCGCAGATCGAGCTGCACAAAGCCCAAGTAGAGTTACGACATGCTCTGTCAATTGAAGAACAGTTTTGGAGCCAAAAGGGGCGGGTGAAGTGGCTACGGTACCGAGATGGCAACTCAAAGTACTTTCATGCAATGGTTCAGCAGCGGAGGGTACAAGGGGCGATTCATTGCGTGCAGGACATAAGTGGGGATTGGATAGAAGATGATAAGGGCATCGCAAGTGTAGCCGTTAGCTATTTCGTCGATTTGTTTTCAGGGTCAAATAACGACGACATAGGGCTGCTACATCTTATCCCTCATCTCATTACAAGGAAGGATAATATGGCCTTGGAGGAGCCTCCTTCGATGGAGGAGGTCAAACAGGCAATTTTCGGGATGGACGGGGATAGCGCAGCGGGCCTGGATAGGTTTACTGGTAAGTTCTTTACTTTTGCGTGGGATATTCTGGCTCAGGACGTGTATAATGGGGTACTAAGTTTTTTCTGTGGGGCGGAGTTGCCTCGTTTTATGACTTCTACATCTATTGTGCTCATCCCCAAGGTGTCACACCCTCAGGACTATTTTCAATTCCGCCCAATTAGTTTATGTAATTTTTTTTAACAAGTTGCTGTCACGCATCCTGCCCGATAGGATACCCCATCTTTTGCCCAAAATAGTGTCCCCTCAACAGACAGGCTTTATCAAGAATCGGAGTATCACGGAGAATTTTCTGCTTGCCCAAGAGATTATTACGGGTATTGGAAGAAAGGTTAGAGGGGGTAATGTTGTGCTAAAATTGGATATGTCGAAAGCTTACGATCGGGTGGACTGGATTTTCCTAGTTAATGTCTTGCGCAAATTTGGGTTTGGAGAACGGTTTATTGATATGGTGTGGCAACTAGTGTCAAATGTTTGGTTTTCCGTGCTTATCAATGGCTCATCTCATGGCTTTTTTAAATCCAGTAGAGGTTTGCGGCAGGGCGACCCCCTTTCGCCTGCGCTGTTTGTGATTGCGGCTGAGGTCCTGTCTCGGGGTCTTAATAGCCTAGTTATGCAGTCTGGATTTAGGGGGTTTTCAATCTCGAAGGGATGTGAGCAGGTCACTCACCTGGCGTTCGCAGATGATGTGATAATTTTTGCCAATGGGTCCTCGGCGGCTTTAAAGCTAATTATGCATATGCTAGACAGATATCAGAGAGCTTCTGGCCAACTTGTCAATCTCCAGAAGTGTGGGTACCTCATGCATCCGTCCACGTTACCCGCTCGTCGGACGGTGGTGGAGAGATTGACTGGTTTTTCAAGACTACACTTCCCCATTAGGTATCTAGGATTTCCTTTGTACTTTGGCAAGAGCAAGGCCACGCATTATGGGGAAGTGTGTCAACCCATACTAGGGAAAATTCTTTCCTAGAAATCGAGGTTTCTCTCCCCTGGAGGGCGGATCGTCCTCATCAAGCACGTGCTGGCAGCGATCCCGATGCATCTCTTATCGGGCGCTGTGATGCCAAAAACAATTTTCAGGGTCATCGAGAAGACTTGCTCAGATTTCTTATGGGGGGCAAGTGGGGGGGATCCCAACCGACATTGGATACGTTGGTCTCAGTTGTGTTATCCGGTTACAGAAGGGGGAGTTGGCTTTCGAAAGCTTAGGGACATTTACACTGCATTTTCATACAAGCTGTGGTGGAGCTTCCGTACAGGGTCGTCCCTTTGGGCTAAGTTTCTGCACGCGAAGTATTGTCAAGGGATTCATCCATGTCAAGTAGAAATAAAGGCAACTGCGTCTGCAGTCTGGAGGCGTATGATCAATGTTCATAGACATGTGGAATTGTCCATGCGATGGTTGATTTACAGGGGGCCTTGTGACTTTTGGTATGATAACTGGATAGGAACTGGGGCATTGTATTTAACAGCTAATGGCCTGCCAAACTTGTCCTTTGTGGACTTCATAGTGCGGGGACAATGGGATGCCCAGCAACTGGGGCAGTTCTTCACTCCGAACATCGTTTCCTCCATCCTGAAGCTGGCAACACCGAGTGGGGACAGGGGCATAGAGGCAATCTGGATGCCGACTTCAACTGGAAAGTTCACCTTATCCTTGGCATTCCAAGAGGTTAGACAGGTTCAGCATACGTCTTTTGTCTACTCTCAAATCTAGCAACTGAACCTCTCCTTTAAAGTTTCATTTCTAATGCTACGTCTGTTGCGGGGACGGTTACCCATGGATGAGGTGTTATGTAGAATGGGCTTCCAATTGCCTTCCAAATGTTTCTGTTGTGAAGCGCCTGCGATGGAGACTATTGGACACGTCTTCTTCACTGGAAGACTAGCAATGGAGGTATGGACTTTCTTCAATGGTACCTGTGGTATAGGCCCTTAACCCCCTGTCTTAAGAGCATGCTTACTGGGTTGGTGGCAGCTAACTTCGATGTCATCCCAGCGGCGGTTCCTTTTGGCCGGGTTGCCTAACTGGATATGTTGGCATCTTTGGAAGGCGAGAAATAGAGCAGTTTTCGAGGGAATTCGGGTGCAGGGCCGAGATGTTTGCCAGGCGATCTTCAAGGATGTAAAGGCAGCATTTGAGATTCAGTTTCAACAGCGGTTGGATGTTCGCACATTTCCAGAGATGTATGACACCATCGCCATGGGTGGCCCCCAAAGGTATGATTTTCTCATTGTACGATGGAGGCCTAGCTTAGCTGACCGATTGACGTTGAACACGGATGGGTGCTCCAAAGGCAACCCGGGACTCAGTGGTGGTAGTGGAGTGCTTCGAGATTTCAACGGTGAGTTCGTGGTGGGATTCTCAACTTTCCTAGGCGACCAAACTAGCTTACGGGCAGAGATTTTAGCATTGTTGGTGGGTCTCCATTTGTGCAAAGCAAGGGGGATGCCTCCACTCTTTATTCAATCGGACTCGGCGACTTTAGTGGGCATCCTTCAGTGACAGTTCCATTGTCCTTGGTATGTTCGAATGGAGGTGGAAGAGATATGGCAATTGGTGGCGGCGAAGAATTGTTTCTCACACTGTTTTCGAGAGATGAACAAAGTGGCGGACGCCTTGGCCAATGTGGGAGTCATGCACAGACAAATGGGGTACTCCTGCTATTAGGAGAGTGAAGAGGTCATGAGAGGGCAAGACTTGTCATGTGCTTAGAAGATTGTGTTGCTTTTCTTGTTCTTTATTCTTATTATGAATAAAATATAATTTTATTTAAAAAGAATAAAAAAAAAATGTCTAGCCAAGAAATAACTTCAGCAATGGTTCACCTAATTGATCATCAATGCACAAGCAATTCAAATTATTTATTAATAAATAGGTTATAACTGCCAAACATGCGATGACAGTCAACCCCTCCTTACCGTG